CTCTGATTTCCACATGTTTATTTCTTGAAATTACTTCATCCACATTGTTTCTATGGACTTCTTTCTTTTCAAATTCAGATTTTCTAAAATATTTTATTATCACTACAAAATTTTTGTAACTTGTGTTATAATTCATTACAAAGTATGATTTAAAACTAAGAAAAATTCTGCTTAAATTATTAAATAGTTACTAAATTCTATGCTGTAATTAATTGATGAATATCTTATTTTCTTTATACAGAAATGTATGAATATTCAAAATTAGTAATTAATTTTTTCGAAAAAAATTTGAATTTAAATTAGTAAATGAAATTGTAAAGGCTTACTTGGTTTGCTTCTTTTCATCAACTTTTTGAATGTTTGTAGCAGCGAATGCTTTTGTATTTTGAATATCATCCAACTTATCCGTATCTTGCAATTTTTCCTGTTCACGATCGGTAGCTTTCGTTAATACTTTCATTATTTCGTCGCTTACATTTTTTTCTACTTAAATAGCAAAAATAATAATTTACTTAATATGATATTTAAGTATAAAACTTCATGTTAAATTGTGATTTTTGTATTGTTAGCAATATATGCAAAGTATTGTGTGCAAGGATAAACTATCAATCGTTAGTGATAAATTGCTAAAATAATTTTATACGTTTAAAAGTGAATAATTAATAACATCAAGTTAAATAAACTATTATTACATTCTACATACACATTTTATGTGCAAAAATTTTGATCTAATTCTTTTTATGTTTAATTAATAAAAATTTCACTGACACTAATTTTTTTATGTACTATAAATGAAGACATTCACATAAAAATATTGGCAACAAAAAGCGCATTTTAGGATTTGAGATGGAATGCAAAAGAAATAATGTTAATTGATTAATTAATTAATTAGAGTAGAAATTAATTTTACTAACAGTCAACGAATGGTTCCGGTGGATCTGGCAGACAGTTCATTCTTCGTACTGTTACTTCGTAGGAAACACTGCAGATCATTATTTTGCGGTAGTTCTTTTGTACATAACAAATATTCATAAAATTAATTAAAAAGTGATATGTTGTTTCTATGATAATCTCATTTTATATATAAGATTACTGTGGCTTTTTATTACTGCTAAAATAATTAACTTTGTACTAAAGCTTTATTTATATCCAAATTTCAGTTTAATTTTTTTAACATGCAGTAATTTATGAAGGAAAAAATTAGAATGACTTATATGAAATATTTAATTTTGATGATAAGACTGTGATAATAAAGTACAAGCATGATAATATCGAATGAATATTAATTATTATTATATTAATTATTTTTATTTTGTGACTGTTGTGGTTACAAAATAAAAATTCCCTTACATCAAAATCATTTCTTTAAATTAGTACAGACAAGAAAATATATTTAACATTCATAGCAATTAAAGCATTTACTTGCTTATGATTACTACTGATTTCTATTTTGTTAAAATTTCAAATTTTGTTAAACTATAAAAATTTCCAACCACAATTACTTTTATTGTCATTTCTATTTATTCATACTGCTTAATTGAATGACTTTGTGCTAAAAATTTGAATTGA